ATTCTAAGGCAATAATTAAAGGTATGCACAAAGATACAGGTAGAATGATATGTTCACAACATAAAACAGTTGTTGTTAGGTGCCGTAGGATCTGTTCCGACTCATAGCAACCCTGTGTACAACAGAACAAAACACTGCCCGGTCCTGCGCCATCCTCAACAATTGTTGCTGTTTGAGCACATTGTTGCAGCCGCTGCTGCGTCAGTCCATCTCGTTGAAGGTCTTCCTCTTTTTTGCTGACCCCCGAATTTACTAAGCATGATGTCCTTGTCCAGGGACCGGTCCCTCCTGATAACATGTCCAGAGTATGTAAACTAAGTCTTACCATCCTTGCTTCTAAGGAACATTCTGGCTGTACTTCTTCCAAGACAGATTTGTTTGTCCTGATGGTCCGTGGTGTATTCAATATTCTTCACGCATCAATTCTTCTTTGGTCTTCCTTAATCATTGTCCAGCTTTCACTTGTATATCAGGTGATTGAAGATACCGTGGCTTGGGTCAGGCACACCTTAGTCTTCAAGGTGACATCTTTAAAGAGGCCTTTTGCAGCAGATTTGCCCAGTGCAATGTGTCATTTGATTTCTTGACTGCTGCTTCCATGGGCATTGATTGTGGTTCCAAGTAAAATGAAATCTTTGACAATTTCAGTATTTTCTCCATTTATCATGATGTTGCTTATTGATCCAGTTGTGAAGATTTTTGTTTTCTTTATGTTGAGGTATAATCCTTACTTAAGGCTGTAGTCTTTGATCTTCATCAGTAAGTGCTTCAAGTCCTCTTTGCTTTCAGCAAGCAAGATTGTGTCATCTCAGGAAAGCTGGTAATAGGGAACCGAAGGTTGAGAAGGGAGAGTGTTGACATGTTGTGGGGTTGTTAACCAGTGTCTTAAAACAATATGTGTACTGTTTAATGAAAAACTATTCTGTAAACTTTCACCTAAGTACAGTAAAAAAAAAAAAAAAAAATTAAACAGACAAACAGATTGTGTCATCTGCCTGTTGCAGGTTGTTAATTAGTCTTCCTCCAATCCTGGGGCCACGTTCTTATAGTCCAGCTTCTCGAATTATTTACTCATCGTACAGATTGAATAAGTATGGTGAAAGGATACAGCCCCGACGCACACCTTTTTGGACTTTAAACCACGCAGTATCCCCTTGTTCTGTTCAAATGACTTCTTCGTCTATGCACAGGTTCCTCATGGGCACAGTTAAGTGTTCTGGAATTCCCATTCTTCACACTGCTATCTGTAATTTGTTACGATCCACACAGTGGACTGTGCATAGTTAGTAAAACCAGGTAATCATCTTTCTGGTATCTGCTTTCAGCTAGGTTCCATCTGACATCAGCAATGATACCGTTTTTCCACATCCTCTTCTGAATCCGGCTTGAATTCTTGACAGTTCCCTGTCGATGTACTGCTGCAACTGCTTTTGAATAATCTTCAGCGAAATTTTACTTGTGTTTGATATTAATGATATAGTTTAATAATTTCTGTATTGTTTGATCACCTTTCTTTGAAATGGGCACAAGTATGGATCTCTTCCAGTTGGTTGGCCAGGTTGCTGTCTTCCAAGTTTCTTGGCATAGAGGAATGAGCACCTCTAGCACTGCATCTGTTTGTTGGAACATCTCAGTTGGTATTCCGTCAATTCCTGGAGCCTTGTTTTTTGCCAGTGTCAACAGTGCAGCTTGGACTTTCTCCTTCAATACCATTAGTTCTTGATTATGTGCTACCTCCTGAAATGGCTGAACGTCAGTACAGTGACTCTCTATTCCTTGCATCTTTTGATACTTCCTGCATCGTTCAGTATGTTGCCCATAGAATTCTTCAGTATTGCAGCATTGCAACTCAAGGCTTGAATTTTTTCTTCAGTTCTTTCAAGCTTGAGAAATGCCAAGCGTGTTCTTCCCTTTTGGTTTTCTAACTCCAGGTCTTTGCACATTTCATTATAATACTTTGTCTTCTTGAGCTGCCCTTTTGAAGTTTTCTGTTCTCCTCTTTTACATCATCACTTCCTCCATTCGCTTTGGCAACTCTACATTCAAGAGCAAGTTTCAGAGTCTCTTCTAACATATATTTTGGTCTTTTCTTTCTTTTCTATCTTTTTAATATCCTTTTGTTTTGTTCGTGTACGATGTCTTTGATGTCATCCCACAACTCATCTGATCTTTGGTCATTAGTGTTCAGTGCGTCAAATCTGTTCCTGAGATTGTCTCTAGATTCAGGTGGATTATACTCAGGGTTGTACTTTGACTCTTGTAGACTTGTTCTAATTTTCTTCGGCTTCAACTTGGACTTGTATATGAGCAATTGATGGTCAGTTCCGCAGTCGGCCTCTGGCCTTGTTCTGACTAATACTGAGCTTCTCCATTGTCTTCTTTCCACGGATATAGTCAATTTGATTCCTGTGTATTCCACTGGACAAGGTACATGAGTATAGATGCCATTTAATGTTGTTGAAAAAAGGTATTTGCAGTGAATAAGTCGTTGGTCTTGGAAAATTCTATCATGTGATCCCCAGCGTAATTTCTGTCACCAAGGCTGTATTTTCCAACTACCTATCCTCTTTGTTTCCAGCTCTCATATTTCAATCATCAGTAGTTATCAATGCATCTTGATTGCATGTTTGATCACTTTCAGACTGTAGAAGTTAGTAAACATCTTCAGTTCCTTCATTAGTGGTTGGTGTGTAAATCTGGATAATAGTCGTATTAACTGGTCTTCCTTGGAGGCGTGTATATTATCCTGTCACTGACCACGTTGTACTTCAGGATGGATCTTGAAATGTACTTTTTGATGATGAATGCGACCATTCCTCTTCAATTTGTCATTCCTGGTATAGTAGACCATATGATTTTCAGATTCAGAATGGTCAGTAACAGCCCATTTCAGCTCACTAATGCCTAGGATATTGATATTTATGGGTTCTATTTCATTTTTGACAACTTCCAATTTTCCTAGATTCATACTTCGTACATTCCACGTTTTGATTATTAGCGGATGTTTGCAGCTGTTTTGTCTCATTTTGAGTTGTGCCACATTAGCAAATGAAGGTCCTGAAAGTTTGACTCCATCCATGTCATTAAGATCGACTCTAAGGAGGCAGCTCATCCCCAGTTGTATTTTGAGTGCCTTCCAGTCTTCTAACACTGTATCAAAGTTCCGCTGCTATTTATAAAGTTTTCACTGGCCAATTTTTTCAGAAGTAGACTGCCAGGTCCTTCTTAGTCTGTCTTAGTCTGGAAGCTCTGCTGAAGCCTGTCCACCGTGGATGACCCTGCTGGTATTTGAAATACCAGTGGCATAGCTTCCAGCATCACAACACCACACAAGAAGCTACCACAGTACGACAAACTGACAGACGAGTGGAGGTTTATAGGTATAATATGTTTCATAACATATAACAGTAGTGGTGAAATATATTTACTGACATACAAAGATATTCACAGTATATGAGTAGGTGAAGAAATCAGCTCACTAAAACTGTACAGTACGGTTTCAGTTTTGTTTTTAATTTCATATGTGTGTATACAAATGTTAGGTGCATATACGTTGAAAAAATAGCAAAAGATATCAACAAAATTACATATCTGGGAGAGGAAATTTCAAGTAAAAACACAGATTTCAAAATTTTGTTTCTTTTTGCTTTCTAAGTTTTCAGTTTTTCTAAGAAACTTTGGTAACTTGTGTCATTAAAAAAATTTTTTTGGCATCAAGACTTATACAAGGTTTTGTTTGTAAACTGGTTCTGTGTATGCTTTGATTCTATATACACAGACCCTAGTGGGCATCTCTCTGTAACTGTCATAGGTACTTTGTAATCCTTATCCATAGGCTAACTGGATATTTTCGGGAACACATCAATGATGTTATTACTGATAGTTGTCGTTGAGTCATAGTGAACTTGTGTATAACAGAACAAAACCTTGCCTGGTCCTGCACCATCTTCATGATAGTTTGAGTACATTGTGATGGCTATTGTGTCAGTCCATTCATTGTGGGTTTCCTTCATTTTCGTTGCCCTTTTACTTTATGAAACATGATGTTCTTTTCTAGTGATTGGTCTTTTCCTGATGACAGAGCCAAAGTAGGTGAGTTGCAGTCTTGGCCATCCTTGTTTCTAAGGAATGTTCTGGTTGTATTTCTTCTAAGACTGATCTGTTTGTTCTTTTGGCAGTCCACGATTTGTTCAGTAGTCTTCGCCAACACCATAGTTCAAACACATCAATTCTTCTGTCATCTTTTTTCATTATCCAACTTTCGCATGCATATGAAAACCCTGTGGATCACAACATATCAATGAATCATCGTTTTGTTTTGTTTTGTTCTTTCCCCCTCAGATAGTGTTCTAGTGGCATTTGCTCAATAAATGCATGGTGCATTTATCCTCTGAAGAGTTTAAGTATCCTTCAGAGACAAATACTTTCTACAAATAGTTGATCTTATCTTTCAAGTTTTGATTCTTTGACTCTTCCAGATATCATACCAGTTTTGGGACAGTCTTGTTGATAGCACCTCAGTGTCTGTTACAGCAAGCATCCCATTATATTATATATAATTTTTTTTTTTTTCATGGGTAGGGGTCTGTTTCCCTGTAAATTCCTTGAGGATAAAGATTAAGATATTAAGTCTTTTCATCTTGGTATCTTCAATTGCCTGACACAATACCTAGTACATATCAGATTCCCAGTAAATATTTGTGGTCTTATAAATGTTTTTAGTGTTTAATAAGATGTTAATTAGCAGTCAAATACCTGTGTTCCTGTTTATACGGAGAGCTCACAAAAATGAATAAAAAATTTTTTCAGTGTTTTAGAAAATGTAATCATTTGGTTGAGATTAGGTTAGCATAGTGTGTATCTTAAATGCAAAGTTACAGTTTTGATTAAGAGACAATTTTATAATAAAATTATAGGTAGAGATCAAAAGGGACGTAAAAATCAGTGGGCTATTTACTTCATAAATTTCAATTTACATTAATGTATCTTGATCCTAACAGATAACCATTGACACCATGAATTGGAATAAAGGTGGCCCTGGCATGAAGAGGGGATTTGGCTTTGGAGGTTTTGCCATTAGTGCCGGAAAAAAGGAGGAACCAAAACTCCCACAGCAGTCCCACAGTGCCTTTGGGGCAACTGGCTCTTCTTCAGGATTTGGAAAGTCGGCTCCACCGCAGCTCCCTTCTTTCTACAAAATTGGATCTAAGCGGGCCAACTTTGATGAAGAAAATGCGTAAGTTGCTTCCTGGTAATTTAGCAAAGGTTGGGCTTTGGGGTATTCATTCCACTGGCAAAAATTGAGGCAAAGCAGCCATTTGTTTTTCAGATAATAATATGACTTCTTAAATTAATTATTTTACTAAATTTCATTGTTCCTAGTAAGTTAAATTATCAGTTTCTTTTATTTATTTGTAAGGAATATAATACTTGGATGCTTATTTATATCTTTACTTATTCCAAAAAAGGATTTAAGACCATCAAAACTTAAATATGGCTGGTGAGTTTTAAGTCACTCATGTGGTGTTTGGTATTCTTTATTGCAGTCTTTTATTGACACCATATAAGTTGTTTTACAAACTCAGCCAGTTGCCAGAACTGATAGAACACGTTTTGTCTCAACACTTAAGTCCCTAAAACTATTATGTTGTGATATCTTATACCAAGTAGGAAAATCTCAGATTTGCCACACTTGTCAGGAAACATTTACCATGCATCTTTTTTAACTTGTTTGTCTAATAAGGTGGTGGTTATAAAAAGCTGTGGTTTGAGAATTTGAGCTCTAGTTTTTGTAGATTGTAAATTCTTCTTTGCCTGAAGCTGAATAAATCTCTTATTGCTGTTATTCCAACCTGGTTGTGGTACTACTTAAGGTTTTATTTTACTTTTTTTGTAATTTATTTCTGAATATCAGAATTAATATTTTTAAAATACACTGCAACGTTTTATAAAGCTGATATGTTATTCAGAATCAAATACAGAAGTAGGTGTTTAAGGTCCAGCTGAGTCAAGGATCATTATTCTAGAGAGCATTTTACCAGTTCAGGGTACTTTTGGGCAGTACATTAGTTCAATAAAACTTACTCTATAAATGAGTGTGTTTGTATATCCATTCAGTGTATAACAGTTGTTAAAGCTTTTAAAGTAATTCCTTTGAAGACTTGAGATAGCTTTAAAATTTCAAGCTGCAGTTGCTATTCATTTAACCTAATATTTATTAGTTGTATTACTATTTTATTTAATTTTGAGGTAAGGTCTAAGCAACGCTTGTTTTTATTTTATTTTAGTTTATAACAAGCTGTATAGACATCCTTTTCTGGACTGTTTGTTAGAGAGAAAGTGACCCTTTTTCCAGACTTCAGAATTGTCTTTTCTGAATTGTGAATGATTTTGGATTGAGCATTTTTAATTTTTCTCAGAAAATACCCCAGAATTTATGAAATTATCTCTAAAAAATTTTAAGGATGATAAAGAACAAACTAGAGTCCCAAAGGACTAATGGACCACAAGTACCACAGCCTCCACCAGCCTGAGCCCAGAACTAGATGGTGCCCGGCTACCAACACCAACCACTCTGATAGGGACCACAATAGAGGGTCCCAGACAGAGCAGGAAAAAATCGTAGAACAAAATTCAGATTCACAAAAAAGACCGGACTTACTGGTCTGACAGAAACGGGAAGAACTCTGGAGACTGTGGCCCCCAGACACCCTTTTAACCCAGAACTGAAGCCACTCCCGAAGTTCACCCTTCAGCCAAAGATTAGACAGGTCTATAAAACAAACGATAACACCATGTGAGGAACGTGCTTCTTAGTTCAGTCTTGTATGAGACCAAAAGGGCAACACCTGCCCCAGAGTAGTGATGAGAAGGCACGAAGGGATAGGGAAAATGAATGGATGAAAACGGGGAATTGGGGTGTAGAAGGGGAGAGTGTTAACACATCGTGGGGATCGCAAGCAATGTCACAAAATAATTTGTGTATAAATTGTTGAAGGAGAATCTAATTTGCTCTGTAAAGTCTCACCGAAAGCATAATTTAACAAATTTTTTTTCCTAACGAAACTTAAATCCTATTCAAACGTACTACTTTTGCTTGATTTGAATTAAGGCTTAATATATTTTTTAAGCTAATCATTTTGTTGGAGATGTAATTTGGAAAACATAATGGGAAAGCCTGGTGTGATGAGTAATCATCAGAAACTAGATTAACAGAATAAATGAGAAAGCAGCTCACTGATTTGGGCCGTTTAAAAAGAAAAAAAGAACAAATAGGTTTAGTATTTCACATAAAAAATTTTTTCTATAGTACAGACTCTTAATACTACCTGATATTGAAATACTAAATTTGTACTGAAAACGCATCCCTTTCAACAGAACTGGGAATGTGATTTGAACAGACACTATTGAGATGGAGAATCTGCTGTGACTGCTTTGTTGTAGTATTGGAATTTTGTTTATGTACTTAATTAAATCCTCAGCCAAAGTCTAGAGGTCTCTAATTTGACCTGTAAAGATTAAATCTTATAATAGTGAGATATATCATAGTGAACATTTCTGTTAGATGAGAGATTCACTGACCCCCAAATCAAATAATCACTTTGCCTATCTGTATTTTAATTTTCAGATATTTTGAAGATGAGGAAGAAGATTCTAGCAACGTTGATCTGCCTTACATTCCTGCTGAAAACTCACCTACCCGCCAGCAATTCCATTCTAAGCCAGCAGATTCTGACAGTGATGATGACCCGTTGGAGGCATTCATGGCTGAAGTGGAGGCAAGTGTCAACTCTTTAGAAGTTTCTTTAAAATATTCAGCAGTTAGAAATTAAGTTAACCTAGTATTTCAATCCTAGTTCTCAATTTGTTCTCTAGCCATTTTATTTGAGAATTTTCCTCTAGTACTCTACAATTTAATAAATTTACTTCCACTTGCCCTACAGGATTCTCAGAAATGATTGGTGGCTAGAAATGAGAACTGTAACCTTTTTTTCTTATGGAAAATTTCAAACACATACCAAAGAAGAATAAAATCCCCATGTACCCATCATCAAACTTTTATCAATTAACGACTTTTGGCCAATCTTGTGTTATCTGACCCTGGTGTTGTTTTTTTTTTTGATTATTTTGAAACAAATCCTATACATATTATTTCTTCCATAAGTATTTCTGTACACGTCTCTGTAAGATAGCTCTTTAAAAACATAACCAATATATCATTGTTACACCAAAAAAAACATTAAAAAATACGCTTTTGACTGTTATCTTGTCATTCTTTAGATTTTCTTCCAGTTTCTCAAACATGGAGGTTCCCCTACAGTTCTCTTTCTATATATATCCATCTGCTGTCTTCACTCTTTATACATCCTTAGTGAACTCATCCACGTCTAAAACTTCTGTGTGAATAATTGTCAGATTCATGTCTTTAGTGCCGTACTCTCTCTCTGGTTTCAGCCTTGCATTTCCAGCATATTGTTCATTTTTAAATAAGTGTGTCCCAGTGTCACCTTAAAACCAACTAAACATCTTTTTTCTTCAACTAGGTCTTTTTCTTGTCTTTCTTATTTCTGTTAATGGTGCCAGTATTCACAAAATCACCTCAGCTTAAAACCTCTGGCTTCACTTGTTTCTTACACTTGCCTCTCCCCCTCTCCTTTTTCATTTTAGCAGACAATAAAGCATGTTCATGACTTACTTCATTTAGTCCCCCAGAATAACCATAGAAAATAGGCAGAGAAAATGTATATAAATATAATGTAACTGCTAAGAAAACTGAGCCTCATATCACATTGGTAGTATGTGGCAGAGCTGGGACTCAAATCTAATTTTCTTGCATAGTAGTTTCAAGAACCTAGCTTTTTTCTGTTCCCTACTTTATACCCTCACTAACTCTTGGCTACTCTAAATGCTCTCCCTGCCTTTGGCTCCCATTTATGTGTATACAGCTGTAGAGTAATCAGACTAGAGCAGTTTTCTTACTGTGTTCTCCCCCTTACTCAGAAACTGTCACTTCATTACTTATGAAATAAAATCCTTTCCGTTCCTTAGTCACTTGTTACCTGAGGTCTTCAGCCAGAATCTGTGTCTCCTCTAAGGAAGGAGAAAAAGAATCCAAAATGTCTTTTTGTTTGAACTGGATGTTGTTTAAAAAAAACAAAAGTGAGCTAGCATTTTTAAAATCAGGAGATTCTGCCTAGAAGTACAGATTGTTGGAAGGTTTTAAGGTCCTTTACAGCTCTTAATTATGTCATAAACTGAAGAGAGAATTAAAAAGATGATCAAAGATTAGGTATTGTGAATTAAGCACAAGTTTTTGAATATTTTAGTGTTTCTCACTGAAAAGTAATTGTCAAAATGCAATTTAATGCTTTCTGGGGACATTTTATATTCTAGCTGATGCTAATACGGCCCTGTTCCAATCTAAAAATTCTTTTTAGTTGACATGATTGCAAATGGCCTTTTGTTTCATAGGATCAGGCAGCTAGAGACATGAAGAGGCTTGAAGACAAGGACAAGGAAAGAAAAAACGTAAAGTAAGTTGTTTTCTTCTTCTTCACCAAGGTTACATAGTAATTGCGAAAGTATTGCAAAGCCTGTACCCCCAGAGTTATAGAAAAAAATTTTAAGTACACAGATGTCTTGATTTGAACTTTTCCTGTATCTTGAATAATATCTCTTTAGGTAGTAGAGATGGCCAAAGGCTTTGCATTTGCAGTAATTAAAAAGTATTCTGTTTGGTATAATAGTATTTGGTGTTAGACTATAAATAGGTGTTTAGTAAACACAAGAAATTAATTACAGTGGGAATTAGGTGAGCATTGTAACTAAAGTTTGGAGTCAGTGTTCTTAGTTTTGTCCCATGTTAATAGAAAATAGGGTGAATACTTGTATGATTGATTATGAGAAGTACTGGTGATACATTAGAAAGCTATATATAGCATTAATAATAAAACCTGATTTCATTTAAAGAGGGGCATCATGGTTTAGCAACCGTAGTCAGAACTTGAAATACTTTATTTTCTGAGAAAGGAAATTTTCCTCTTTCCCCTGCTGAATACACTCCTCCTAAGGCTTTTGCTACCAGGCACAAGTATGCATGATTAGACTTTTTCCTCCCTCTGCTTGGCAGTCAGTGGTTCGTCCCTCCCCAAGTTTGTGCGCCATGTGGAAGTCTAGCCCTCCCTTCGGTGCTTACTGTGTGTTGCATCCTCTTCCAACTGCCCTACACTGGCGGCATTGCTTGTTGGTTGCCTTGGGAAGAGCCAGTGCTCTAGGTTAGGCAGAAAGTCTGAGTAGAAGGAAAGAAATGGTTGTGAGAACTAAGCAACCATACTTCCTATAGCTCTTGAGAGATGCAGCAGGTGGTGCTGTCCCCTTCTTCATGTGAACTGCTTAGGAGTTTTAGGCCCAAACTCAAAAAAGTTGATGTAGTTTTTCTCTCCGTCCCCATGGTAACTGATTTTGGCTGAAAGCAGTTACTTCAGAGCTAGAAATTCTAGGGGCCATTAAGAACATTGTGTGTTTTTTTTGTTTGTTTGTTTGTTTGTTTTTAAATACTAAATGTATACACTTGGAATTCACAAATGGATGCAGTATTTTATTTTTTAATAGAAAATACTTTTCACAACTACACTGTGTGTGTTGTATGGGGTTGGCAAGGCTAGGATCCTTTGGTATCTGTCTCCATAAAGTTCTTATTCTTTATACCCTTGTTAGTAAATTGATATTTCTAGAGGTACCATATCATTTCATCCAAAAGGAATGCAAACTGAAACTTACAGAGTGAAACCGCACATATATGATGGGTGGATAGTTACAGTGTGTTTATTGCTGCTTTGTTATTGTTAGTGTTGAGATTTCGTGAGCTGAATGGAATTCAACACTAATCTGCTATAAGTATGGAGCTGGGTATGTGGAACATTTGCAGGGAAGTTTGTTTCTCCGCTTGTTTTTCCAGGGGTATTCGAGATGACATTGAAGAGGAAGATGACCAAGTGAGTTCCTATGCAGTATTTCTCTTTTATTTTTACCCTACAAAGTCTATACTGGGGACAAGCTAGAGCTTGCCTTCATTGAGACGGCCATTCCTGACATTTAGCAGGGAATGTCATTTGACTGGCTTGTTCTACATGCGTGACTAATTGGTAATATAAAGATTCACATAGCTTTCCCTCATGTTGAAGATGGAACTTTTGATCAGCTATGACATCAAAAACAGATAGGAGCTTTATTCAGCTTGATTTTTTTTTTTTAATCCAAAATTAATGTTTATTTGGTAAATCAAGAAGTAGAATAGTGTGGAATCTACTGATAGCCTTTAGCTACATCGAACCTCTACCTCTTTCTAAGAGTTCTTTTTGTGTTTCTTGTATTTCAAGATGGAACATTAATTTAATGACTGTCCTTTAGTATTTTTTTTCCACTGTTCAGTTGTGGGATGGTGAGAAGGGAACCAGAGTGAGCAGTAGCCCTCTCCAGGTTTGTGACCTTTCTAATCAGTGTCAACTTTCAAACTTGGATGGGTAAAGCCATAGCGTGTGTCTACAGCCCTGGGCAGGGTAGGTAGACGCCCCTCCCCAGGAAGGCTGTGGGACAGACAGATCTGTAAGTCTTCTGTAAAACAAGCTAAATTGTTTTGTAGTACTAACTACCTCATTCATTTCTTCTGATTGTCCCTCTGAATACTCCTATTATTAAAGGAAACATTGCTAGTAAAAGTCTTGCCTGCTTTGGTAGGTATTTTAACTGTGCAGTCGTCTGGTATACTGTGTGCATTAACTTTAGGAGCAGAAGCGTTCTCAGTTGTACTTGGATGTGATTATGTTCTTGTGCTTTCCTGCAGGAAGCTTATTTTCGATACATGGCAGAAAACCCAACTGCTGGTGTCGTTCAGGAGGAGGAGGAAGATAATCTGGAGTATGATAGTGATGGAAATCCAATCGCACCTTCCAAAAAAATCATTGATCCTCTTCCTCCCATTGATCATTCAGAGGTATGGTGTTTCTTGCTGAATTTGCCTCTTGCTTTAAGCAGATATAGTTTTCAGCTTTACTATTTAGGTTTTCTCAATGTCTAAGAACTCCTGATTTATACTCCTTATGTCATGTTTGTTCTTTGGGATCTTGTCATCTCTGCAAAATGGTTGCGTCAAATTCCATGAGGCCTTATACAGCCGATGCTGTTGAAGATGCACCTGAATTGCTTGCTGCTCACATTGGATTTTAGGCTAAAAAATTTTTTCAAGCATTTGTACTTGTTTTTTGGAACAACCCTTGCCAACTTTGAGAATAGATGCTTGGGCCTCCATTTTGGATGTCTTTTAATTGCTGTAAACCTTTACTATTGCTTGCAGATCTGGTGTAGATGACAGACTGCTCCTTCAAAGTAGAGCCAGGAGTCACAGGTTTCTTAAATCAGGAAAAGGGAATGAGTGGTATACCCGCTTGGGGGGAAAAAAAAAATCAGTGTTTTTCATTTAGGCTAAATATCACACTAGATCTTGTGTCAATACCAAACCAAACCCATGGCTGTTGAATCAATTCTGACTCATAACGACCCTGTAGGACACAGTAGAACTGCCCCATAGGGTTTCCAAGGCTGTAAATCTTTTTTTTTTTTTTTTCCCAATTGTGCTTTAAGTGAAAGTTTACAATTCAAGTTAGTCTCTATACAAAAATTTATACATACATTGTCACGTGACCCTAGTTGCTCTCCCTGTACTGTGACAGCACACTCCTATTTTCCACCCCAGGTTTCCCGTGTCCGTTCAACCACAAGGCTGTAAATCTTTACAGAAGCAGACTGCCACATCTTTTTCCTGGGGAGTGGCTGGTGGGTTTGAACCACTGACCTTTTGGTTAGCAGCCAACCACTTAACCACTGCGCCACCAGGGCTCCTTGGTGTAAAAGCAGTGGTGGTAAAATAGCTGACTCCTTACCACAGATCAAAGCAGTGGCACGAAACTATTTAAGTGGTCATTCTTCACTGCCAGACCATCACAGTTTCACTTAAAAATCTAAGAATCTTCTTGATGGAACAGTAAAGTTACAGTTTTTATTAAATCTTTATCCTTGAGTTACATGTCTTTTTTTTTTAATAGTCTGTGTGGCAAAATGGGAAGTATACTTTTTAAAGCATTTCTGTTGTGCAACAAAATATGGTCATTATTACAATTTCGAAAAATACTTATGCGTACTTTTTAACTTCAGAGTTGCCAAGTTTCTGATGCTCTTTTTGAGTTGTGAGTTGAAATAGCTGCTTTTTTTCATGTGATGAGTGACCCTTCAAGGAAAACAATTGACAGTGTTTATTGTCAATGATAGAGTCAAGTTTTCAAGCAAAAATTAGAATTTGGAAAACTTGAATCCACCACAGTGAGCTTGGCAGCTTCCCAAAACTTACTTTTCTGATGAAATTGACAATGGTATTAACAAATGTGTGGGTTTTTTTTTTTTTTTAATATTATATGTGAAATGTTTGAACATTTGGAAGATCTACATACCTCAGTAAACCATCATTTTCCAAATGACCAATATGTTATGTTAGAAAACCATGGATAAATAAAATATCTGTTCAAAGTGCATAATAGACCAATGAATTATTATGTAAAATGGAGTATGAGAAGTTTGTTGATAATGGTTTCGGATTTCACAGTGCAAATATTTAATAAATGACCATTTGTCAAGTTTTAGTGTAATATCAAAAAAGAATAGATAACCACAAGTATCTGAAAAGACAATTAAAAATACTTTATTCTCTTTTCTAACTGCATATCTTTGTGAGGGCAGATTTTCTTTATAGACTTCAACCCAAAAGAAACGTATTGTGACAATTTGCATGCAGTAGGAGCTTTTTTCTTTTAAGTCAGCCATTAAAGAGATTTACAAAAGTGTGAAACAGTGCCACTCTTCTCTCCAAATCTTTTTTGGAAAATAATTTTTTATTAAAATATTCATTTTTTAAGTGTAGTGAGTTTATTGTTATCTTTAAATTCATTAATAAATATTTTTAAAATTTGTTTTAATTTTAATATGCTAAATATTGTTAGATATAACACACATAAACAAAAGCTTGTTGTGTTTTTGTTTTGTAAGTGTAAAGGGACCTGAGACCAAAATGTTTGAGAACTGCTGGTCTAGGCTAGAGTATGAGTTATATTCAATTTTTAAAATGTTTTCTTTCACAAAGCTACTACATAATGCCTTGGTATTTTACATGTGGCAAATGCAATTAAATGTGTGAAAATTATCTAGGAGGAAATGTCCATGATAAAAGGTGAAAGTCAAATGAAAACAAATAGTTGAAATAATTATGTAACAAAATGTTTGGGATACGTGACAAAGGGCTCAAGCTTGATCCTTATGCTGGAGTGTATCACATGATTGTCCTAATGTAATAGTCTGCTAGGAGACAGCAGAATTAAGGCAAGGAAGGGGCATTGTCAGACCTTATTTCTTCAGGTAGAGGCTGTGGATCTTGAGTTGCATCTAGCCTCTCCTCTCTGGAGAGAAGAGCAGACTTGTGGCTCATCCCTTGTGCCTCTTATTTACCCACCCCCTCCATTTCCAGGGAGTCTTACCTATTAGAAGCACATGTTAGATGGGAGGAGCCTGGAGCAGCCAGTTAGTTTCCTACAGTTCTTCACATCCCAAGGCTTTCTGATGCTTTCTTTGCATATTGTCTTTTCAGGTGCTTTTCGCAAGCCTTCTGCCTATATTATCCTTTCACATACTTGCTTTGAGTACATTTGTGAAGAAAGGCAAAAAAAATTTTGCCCTCATTGGAGCTTCCATTCTGATAGAACTAAAGAAAATTCTGTTGCAGTTTCTTACAACGTTGTAGGAGACATAGAAGAGGTTCTGCCTACTAATAATCTAAAAAGGAACTGAAAACTTTTTTCCTTTTTGTTGACAGTAATGTACAAAGATAATTAATTTAGATTATATTCCAGAATTATGAATTTTTTTACTATGTTGTCATTGAGTCAATTCCACTCACTAAGAGTAAGTTAATTATAGATATTTCATGATGTCAAAAGAATAATTTATCCAAATTCATGTGGTGATGTGCTTGTTTTGTATCCTTAGTACAGTAAGCTGTGGAAAGAGTAGCAGAAATGATTTTTTTCCTCATTGGAATTGGAAATGCTTGGCCGTACATTTTTTAAAAGTTATATGAACAGTTTCTTGTTTTTGAAAGAACAGAACTTTCTCTAAAAGCAGAGCTGTTTCCAAAGGAAATATTAGAAATGTTTTTAAATCACAGACTAGGTGAACAGCTTACTCTAGAACATATTTAAATGTTGTAGGGTGGAATACTTCTTTTAAATACTTGTCCTTTGAGATCTTTGGCATTATAGGGATTCCTTGATCTGCTCCCAGGTCGTTCAAATTTTGTGGTGACCTTAAGAGTCTCTTTAGGAAGTAAATTGATGTTTATGTTAAAAAAAAGGAATGGAAAAAGGTATTGGCTGTACTTTTTGGGATGTGTGTCATGAAAAAGTGAATTCCTTTGTTCTCTCAAGCTGGTTATGGTTTTACTTATGTGATATTTGTAAAAGATTATTTTGCATTAAAATCAAACTTACAGGATTGACTCTTGAATTCTAGACTAACTTTGAATAATTGGACCTGCAGATTGACTATCCACCATTTGAAAAAAATTTTTACAATGAACATGAAGAGATAACCAATCTCACCCCCCAGCAGTTAATAGATCTTCGGCATAAGCTCAATCTTCGGGTAAGACAACCATTAAACCAAATATTCCTGTATTAATGTTAATTAGTCCAGGTTTTGTATTATTGCTTAGCCAGACTGAAATAACCTTGAATTTCTTTTCTAATGGTCACTGAACTATTTTTGATAGAATAGTAATTGTATCCCTTGGGCTTGTTTTTGTTTTCGTCCTCCAGATAAATAGGATAGGATCATTTTTCCTTTCATGTGATAAATATGAATGCTACATGTGTTCAGTCTACTTTTTATGTTAATGTTTTGGAAAAATAAGTCATTTTGACCTTAAGATAAGTATTTCCAGAATATGTATCATGTGCTAAGCACTATTCTATGTGGGTTAGAGATACAGAGTAGGAGTATCCATCTTCAGGAAGAGGAAACAAAATTAATAGTTGTGAACAACATAGGAACTCAATGTTTTGAAATTAAGATACACTTCTCAAATTATGTATGGTACACTTTTGTAAAAAATAAGAAATTGGCAGTTTTTTAAAATATTCATGTACTAACTTCAGAATAATAGTTTAAATTGCCCATTAAAACATTTGGTATGCACATGGGCCACATTGTTTAGGGTGCAGCTAGGTATTAGTTTATTGAAACTCACACAGGTACTATGCTGCTGTCTATTCTTGTGTGGACAACTTTCTGGCCTTTGTCTTCCTTTACCGGTTGCTTCATAATGTTTGAACTCCTATTTTCTGAGGAGTTTGTCTGAGAGGTACCCACTCCCCCAAAAACTTTTAAGTGAAATCCTTGTTGGAAATTATCAGCATTACTGGAGAGCAATCGAAAGGTTGCCACTGTTGGAGGCAAAATGAAGGTTATAAGCTTCATTCATCTGGGCACAGTGTGAACAATGTTTGACAGTGACTGGGCCATCACTAAGTGAGGCGTGAACTCCGCAGGAATAACTGAAAATGAAGACTGTGGGTAATATCCTTGTAGCCAGTGGGTACGGACATATGTCTTATTTAGCTCATTTGAACGTCTCATTTTATTTCAAGAGTAAATTTTTTTTTCCCTACCATCTGATTCACATTTATGCAAAATAGCAAAAAAACAAAAAGAACATTAGTAGCTTCTTCCAGTTCATGGGATAGTATTTCATTTTTATTGCTTATGAGATAAATAGTTTTGATTTAAGAGATTTTTAGGCACTTAATCATTTTAAGTTATAATAACAGAGTTAAATCATCTTAAGAGTATTTGCCATGAAGTTATTTATATGTGGTTTTATATCAGTTATCATTTGGGTTTTTACCTTTTCCAGCGGTCTGTGCTTTTGACTGCAGGCTTATATTCTTACTTTTCCACATCCAGACTAAATCAAACCAGAGCAAACCGGTGGCCTTTGAGTCAGTTCTGACTCATGGCGACCTCATGTGTTGCAGAGTAGAACCACACTTCGTAGGGTTTTTATGGCTGTGACCTTTCAGAAGCAGATCGCCAGACCTTTCTTTCAGGGTGCCTGTGGGCGGGTTCAAACTGCCGACCTTTTGTTTAACAGTCGAGTGCTTACCGTTTGCACCACCCAGGAACTTAAACTAAATAAGGTAAAGGTAAATATTGTTGAACTTCAAATGCTATTAGTTGTTAAGTGCAACTCATTCCTGGAAGTTGTCTTTATCTGTAGGTCTCTGGTGCTGCGCCTCCTAGACCAGGAAGTAGTTTTGCGCATTTTGGGTTTGATGAACAACTTATGCACCAGATTCGGAAATCTGAGTACACACAGCCCACTCCAATACAGTGCCAGGTGAGTGAAAATGAAAGAAAAATGAAGTAGAATGGTATTCAGTGACTATATGTGTTTTGCAAACAAGTCAAAACAGTTTTTAGTGCAAAACTATGTTGACAAGGATAAACTGTGTCCAGGTACTTCCTCTGTGACTTAGTCTTTGACTTTTGCTTTAATTAAGGGAAAAGAAGAGTGTTAACATACATGAAATGCAAGAGTATTTTGGAACCTTTAAAAATTAAAGAGCAAGAGTGAATTATTTACCACTTCTAAGAACTTGCTAAGGGGCTTGATAAATATCTGATAAATGCCTTGAAAATATGATAATGAAGAAAATAGTTCATTGGGGCCAAGCCTAATAAATAAATTTGTCAGTTTACGAATGGACAAATTTAGGACTGACAGTGATGACTAGGATTTCTTTGTCCATGACCGGAAAATTCTGTTTTATTATTGTAATCTATGAAAATAATCATTTTTGTTTCTTTTTCATATATAGAATTCATTCCAATAGAGAAAGTGAATTTTCTCCATGAATGAGGTAGTCTGCACCTTCTCAAGAAAAGAAAACAACTTAAATTTTAGCAGCCATTGCCATTATTAGTTGTAATTTTTCATCCCTGATTTCAAGTGGAGTCATTCACATTCTCTAAATGGTGGCTCATCCATACAAAGAGAATAATAATATTTCCTTTGTAAGCAAGAAGTTTATGGCAATGCCAGGTGTTTCTCACTATTCCATAGCCAGTATGCGTAGTCCAGGATATTTTTGTTGGAAATGGATGTCGTTAGTCATTTATCCTTCCCCAGGATTTCCTTCAGTACATCTTTGGAACTGAAATTTTAGAGTTGGTATGCTTTATTTTTTCTCCAGGGTGTGCCTGTGGCATTAAGTGGTAGAGACATGATTGGTATTGCCAAAACAGGCAGTGGGAAAACTGCTGCCTTTATATGGCCCATGTTGATTCATATAATGGACCAGAAGGAATTGGAACCAGGTGATGGACCAATTGCCGTGATTGTATGTCCTACTAGAGAGCTTTGCCAGCAGGTAGGTGCTTTGTGTAAAATGCCCCCTTCCATATGTGAACTAGTAGGGGACTAGCCAGTCACATGGGCTGAATTACCTGGAAACTTCTGGCAGGTATTATGTGTTATACTAAATATCACACTTTTCCCTAGAAACGGCTGTTTTAAGAGAGAACAAAATTATGATGATACGGGAATTGTAAGCTCCCAATGTTTTCCTCCTGAGTTAATTCATTTTGCTTGGTAGAAGGATAATGATAGTTTCAGGACGAGAAGTGAAAAAAAAATGAGTAGTCACGGCAAGAGTTAAGATATCTTGTTGAGATGTGATAATTGTACTCTGCTTGCTATTCATTTACTTATGAATAAAATTGTGATTTTAAAGCATGTTGTAGCTTTTGATTTTCTATGATACTACACTGTATGTTTTTCAGTAATAATAATAGTAATCTCCAATATTACACATATATAGTAAGTTATTGGTGACATCAGAGCTCAGAAAAAACAAAAGGTTAGTTCTGTTTCTAGCAACTGATTTTCCTAACACCATTTACATCACCTGCCTGTTCCCTGTGGGCATAGTTTTCACTCTTGCCATAGACCTTAGCTGTTCTGGGATCTCACTTTGTCTCCCTTTTGGGTTGTGACAGGTCACGGTTTGTTAATATGTCATTAACAATTTTGTAGATCCATGCAGAATGTAAGCGGTTTGGGAAAGCGTATAACCTTCGCTCGGTGGCCGTGTATGGAGGAGGGAGCATGTGGGAGCAGGCCAAGGCCCTTCAGGAAGGGGCGGAGATTGTCGTGTGCACCCCAGTAAGTATGTCTTGGATTCAGATGGCTTCTCAGCGCATTTTGGTATAGGCAAAATGTTAGTTATTGAAGGAAATTCCCCCTAAAATGCGGTAAAACCCACAGCTTTGGTTTAATTTTGATTGGTCAACTAAAGTAGCAGTCTATTAAGAGTCTCTGTAACAGATACATTAGTAGCTCCAAATTCCTCTCTATTTCAAATAGATTTTTATACTCTCCTAGAAAATGGGTCTGTGGTTATCAAGAACGGAAAGAAATTCAGAGTATGGTCGGAACTGCCCAGGAGAGTGTATTCTGAACTTGAAAACCTATCAGTAGGCTTTAAATCAGGTCATTTCAGAATGCCTCCCAGGAGTGAGTCTGGCCACTTTGCCACAGACTTAAATAATTAATGTAAAGGAACAATCCGGCTGATAACTTCAAAATTTCTGTTCTCTTGGGCTATGTAGTGCATAAAGTCCGAGACTGGAGTGTTAGCCATTTTGCTAGCAGCACAGCTTTAGAAAGTTCTTGTAAATCCCTTTAATTCTGACTACTCACTTTCTGGATCTCATAGGGTCGACTGATTGATCATGTGAAGAAGAAAGCTACCAATCTTCAAAGAGTCTCTTACCTTGTGTTTGATGAAGCAGATCGAATGTTTGACATGGGTTTTGGTATGCTTTGAATGCCAGTTTCTTCTGTCTCCATCCTTATAATAATTAGTGTTTTCTATGTATTTCTACTCTTATCTATTTTTTTTTTTGTGAGAGAGGCTAAAAATATCTCCTGAGTAGGGTTCCACTCGTGAGATGTAGCTACGGCCTTAGAGGTTTTCAGGAGTTCTCTCAGGGAAAGTATGTTAGGATTGATTCAGTTGAGGAAATCTGAAAGTGCTTTTGCAGGTAGGAGTATTTTCTCTTTAGCCTTTGATTTTTACGGTCACGCTCAGTGTCTTTAAGGTAGGTGAATGTCAAATTATTCAAGGCAGTTTGCTTTCGTGTCTTCCTTGACTTTTGCGGCTATTTAGTGAAAACTCTAAATAGCCAACTTTACTGATTAGAATACCACCAGACCCAGCTTGGGTGGGTGGAGGGAAAGTTTTGCCCAGTTTCATACTGAATGATATGTCCACGAGTTTCTAAATTTCTTCAAATTTTTTTAATCTCTTATATGAAGACTTCTACTAAAATTACTTTTTCCAGGTACTCCAAACTACAGTACTGGGTTACAATATTAATTTTACTGTTCTGTTTCTTCCAGAGTACCAGGTGCGATCCATAGCAAGTCACGTCCGTCCTGACAGACAGAGTATGTATGAAGTAGCTTTGTTAAACCGCGTTTCTACTCAGTAAACACTTGTTCATTTTATAAGCACTTGCAGTCATGGAAGCAAAAATGATCGTGTGTGTGCTGGTGAGAACCTTAAAGAGGGCAGTGATGATGGTTTATGTGACTTGGAAAGGACGTGGAGATCATCGGCTATAACTTACTCATTTTTATAGATGAGAAAACCAAGGTTCCGAGATTAAATGACTTGCCCGTTTATACAGTTTTATGCATGGGGAGGGGCAAGACACAGTACAGATCTGCTGGTTTGAAGTCAAGAGCCTTTTCCTGAACAATGCTGACAATCCATGTCTTAACTGAAAATGTAATAAAAACAGAAAAAGGGCGAGTCTTTTTTTCTCTACTGAATTAATTTTTTAACTGAATTTGAAGTTCACATAGGTTTGTTTTTTAAAAATTAGAGTAATTCTGAGTGTCAGTAGGAAGCTTAGTGGGAATTTGACAAAGAAGTCCTACTGTTTTCTTCAACGGAATATATGTTACCTTTTAGCTCTCTTATTCAGTGCAACTTTTCGGAAGAAGATTGAAAAATTGGCCAGAGACATCCTGATTGATCCTATTCGAGTAGTGCAGGGAGATATTGGAGAGGTAACTCTAAGCAGGGCTGGATGGGGCCCCAATGGGGAGACATGGAATTAAATTTCTCACTATTATATATTTACAGATGAGGTGGCAATGTTTTAGATTTGCTTTAAAATACACAGATAAGTTTGGGAGGGAGGTAGATGAAACAAGATTGGTAAAATTTTGATAATTGTTAAAACCCAACCAAACCTGTTGCCGTGAAGTTGATTCTGAGTCATAGCAACCCTATAGGACAGAGTAGAACTGCCCCATAGAGTTTCTAAGGAGCAGCTGGTAGATTCAAACTTCTGACTTTTTGGTTAGCAGCTGAACTCTTAACCACTGCACCACCAGGGCTCCAGGTGATGAGTACCTGGGAGTTAATTATGTTTATCTCACTTTTTTTTAAATGTTTAAAAATTTGCGTAATAGAATGGTTTTATAAAAGCTAAGAAAATAATAATACTCTGCCTGGAAGACTCTGAGTGAGTTGACTATTGGAAATAATCTGAATATGCATATGAAAAAGTATTGCAAGGTATCGGGGCTTAACAAATTAGTTGAGTATATGTGTACACTAGAAGAGATGGAGAACAAAGTGAATGAGAGGGGAAGTAAGTAAGTTTTGAGCTGCCCAGTGAAGGCCCTAGAGAAGAGGGATGGTTCAGGGCTCTTAGGATGCAGGTAGAAATGCCTGATCCTTGTTCAGGGGCCCTGTGGCATCAATTTACAATCCCCTGTTTTCATTGCTTCCTTCTCAGGCAAATGAAGATGTGACACAGATTGTGGAGATTCTCCATTCTGGGCCCAGTAAATGGAACTGGCTTACCCGACGTCTGGTGGAGTTCACTTCTTCAGGAAGTGTCCTCTTGTTTGTTACTAAAAAAGCCAACGCTGAAGAGCTAGCCAATAACCTTAAGCAGGAAGGTCATAATCTTGGGCTGCTCCACGGGGACATGGATCAGAGTGAAAGAAACAAGGTCATTTCGGACTTTAAGAAAAAGGACATCCCAGTTCTGGTGGCCACAGATGTTGCAGGTAGAGTATGAGTCTCCCCAATAAACTTAAGTTCCTGTGTAGGACCGGGCAGTGTTTCGTTGTTTTACATAGGGTTGCTGAGTCGGAAGTGACTCGATGGCACCTAACGACAACAACGTGCGGTAAGGGTGCTCTGTCTTACTATATATAAGCAAAGTATATATCTGAGCTGAGTGAAGGCACTCTGTTGGGCCCCACCCCATGGAGCAGCAGTTTAGAACCCGTGTTTATAAACTAGAGCTCTGGGCACCACTTTTCACTGATTGTTTCCTCTGGCCTGTGCGTCAAAGAATCCCAGCAACTAGAGGGCACTTAGAAAAGAATTTTTGAGGCAGTTATATCATAGACTATCCCCTTGTGTGTTCGAGTATAGTAGATGTCGTACATTGACTGTTTAGTTGGGCACACTTTATTTAAGATCAGAAAACATTTTTGGAGTATCGTTTTTGTCTTCGTTCTGCTGAGTTTTAAATAGTCACGCTTAAAAACGGGCATTTTCTCCCAGAAAGGAGAGACTCTATGAGCTTCAAGACACATTGGATGCGAGTTTAACTTTTTTATATACTCCTGGTACAAGAGAGATGGCGGAAGATCTGAGTCCCTTACACTAAGCGGCCCTGCATCTCCCTCAGCAAAGCCATGTGCTGCCCAGATGAGGGAAATGTGGGCTCTTAGAGCCAGCTCCGGCATTTCTGCTTACTTTGGCCTTTTGATTCCAGATGAAGCATAAGAGGATTTGGTTGCTTTTTATTTCAGCCCGTGGTCTGGATATTCCTTCAATTAAGACAGTCATTAACTATGATGTGGCACGAGACATTGATACCCATACTCACAGGATTGGCCGCACAGGACGAGCGGGTGAGAAGGGTGTGGCCTACACCTTGCTGACCCCCAAGGACAGCAATTTTGCTGGTGATCTTGTCCGGAACTTGGAAGGAGCCAATCAGCATGTTTCCAAAGAACTCCTAGATCTGGCAATGCAGGTGAGGGGCTGGGCAGTCTTCAGATTGCTCCAAATTGTAAAATTCAGCAAGCCTGAGGCAAGTTAAGAGAAACTTGATAAGAACGGTGGCCGGGGGTAGGGTTGATATCGAAAAGCTATTCCTTCTTTGTGCTAAAATGAGCCTCTCTGTACTTGCTGCCCCATAGCACATTTAGGAGTAAATTTAATCTCAAAGGCAGGTACTATTCTCCCTACTGCTCTTCTCCAAACAGTGTCTTCTTAAAAAAACGTATGGTGGTGGTAGGTGCCGTTAGGTAGATATCAACTCCTAGCAGCCCCATTAGACAGAGTAGAACTGCCCTATAGGATTTCCTTGGCTGTAGTCTTTACGGAAGCAGATCACGATGTCTTTTTCCCATGGAGCCACTGGTTGGGTTCAAGTCGCCTAGTTTTCAGTTAGCAGCCAAGCACTTAACCACAGCACCACCAGTGCTCCTTAACTATTCCTCGTAGACTTACCTTTCAGACTTTTGACCATACTGATCACCGTCTTCTCTGTGTGCTTCAGTCTTAAACTGAGTGAGTGCTCTACAATGTTGTCAACTTTGTAGGCCAGCCCACAAAACTGTTAGCCCATGATGCAGTGCAGTGTGGAACTGCCCAAGCTGCAGGTTCTGGGAGTAAAAAACCTGCATTGCAGACAGAGGAGGAGAATGTCTCCTCCCCATTCTCCTCCCGTTTCCTGGACATAGCCTGTCATGCATGAGCTTCCCATGCTGTCACGCAGTGTCGGCTTCCCTGATCCACACCTTCCCCAAGCTTGTTCCGTCTCTGAGTACAGTGATTGTCAGATAAACCTTTAACCTTCCCAGGGATGTTTCCATCCTTAAGAGGGTGCAGATAAATCTGATTAGTAGTCTTCTGGCAGTGATCACATTCAGTGCTAACTTTCAAGCTCTATGGGTAAATAAAGTTTCTGGTTGTGTGGCTACCAGCCCTTTCTAGGCATCTGTCCCTAGAGTTGAGTCTAATAAGCCTCACCTCACAGATTTTTCCCTCCTCTTATGAACTCACCAGTTCTTTAAAAGCTCCAATTTTATTGTCAATGGTATGTATAGATTATTTGAGAAATAGAAGGGGAAAAAAAAAAAACAAACTTGAGGTTAGAAGTAGCCAGAGTGGCTTTCCTGTGCTTGAGGCTTATCTGATCACTTCCCTTCCGGGAGGCCTGAAGGAAGGAGCAATGAAAGCTGCCTTGGATAAGGACCTAAATCTGACAAATTTAGTGGATTAAACTACTAAAAAGGAACTAATCAGTGGTTCCTGTGAATAATTCATCCTTTATCATAAATGCATTGGCTAAAGATGAAGCAAAAAGTTCTTTCCTCCCACTTAATTTCCTCTTTGGTCTTGCTGCCTTCCTCTGGCCTAACTTTAAATTGTGTTCAATGCAGAATGCCTGGTTTAGGAAATCCCGTTTCAAAGGAGGAAAAGGCAAAAAGCTGAACATTGGTGGTGGAGGCCTAGGCTACCGGGAGCGACCTGGCCTGGGCTCAGAGAACACGGTGAGTCCAAATGACATTGGTGCCCTTTGGCTGATTGTGAGTCCTGGGTTAGGACTATCCTGATTTACATATGCAAAACCTTAGTGACTCAGAACCTGCCTAGAAGGAGCTCGTATTTAATCTGCTAGATGAGTGAATACATTGCTGGTTCTTCATGTTGTGACTTTCTGTGGAAGCTTCATCTGTGTGTGCTTGGCTGATGAGGTATGCTGAGGAAATCAGTCTAGACTAGCGGTGGTTCTCAGATTGTGGTCCCTGGATCAGCAGCACCATTACCTGAGAACTTAACAGAAACGCAGATCCCAGACCTGCTGAATCAGAAACACTGGAGGTGGGGCCCAGCAGCCTGTTTTTACAAGCCCTTCTTGCTGTTAGGAAAACATTGCCATAGGAGCGCTCTGTAGTATCTTGTAACTAAACTCAGGAATAATTCCCACCATTCTATAGTAAAGCATCAGAGAGAGATGAGAGCTAGCTTTTTTCTCACAAACCAGGTTACAAACGCTCCCTCTGACTGGCTTTTTTAATGGCTGATTTCTGTCACTTTGGTTCCTAAGCCAGGGAAGCAAGCTGTCAGCCTCCTTTCCTGGAGCGTTATAGTTAATTATAGTGTTTTTGATAAAATATACTCTGTTCTCATAGTGGTGATAGCTTATCAGTTGGCACTTAATGTGTGCCAGGTCCATTCCAAACAATCATGTGTATTAACTCAAACTTCACAACAACCCAGTTGAAATTAAGTACCTATAATAAAACTGAGGTGCCCAAGGTTATACACTGCTAAGTGTTGAGGCTGGGATTCAGACCCTTCCTGGTCTGGATTCAGAGCCTGGGCGGTCACACAATATACTGTAAACTACCTCATGGTCCTTTTATTTGTAACATAATTTTTGCCTAATTGAATGTGTGTATGATTATTTTGTTTTGTTTCGATAATACCGCATGATCAATTTTGGGCACAATCCAACCACATTTCTGATTATTAGGGTTAATTCCCAGAAATAGAATTGAAGGGCCTAAGCATTTTAAAATGATTCTTCATTACTGCACCTTTTTCCCCAGAACATAAGTAATTCTATCAAGCTCCCAATCCCCCTAGGAAGCTATTGCCTCAGAGTTTCCAGTGTATTGAGGCGTGGTATGTGGCAGAGGGTGTTTCTGCTTATCTTCTATCTTCATGGATGTGTCTGCTTGTTTTTTAGGACCGAGGAAATAACAACAACGTCATGAGCAATTATGAGGCCTACAAGCCTTCCACAGGAGCCATGGGAGATCGGCTGACAGCAATGAAAGCAGCTTTCCAGGTCTGAGATAAAACATTAAGAGAACTTCTCCCAGTAACTCTTGGGGAATGAGGGGAGCCTAGCCTTCCAGAGACAGTGGCTGGGTTTGTGGGCTTCTTGCTAAATCTACGGCCTTTTCATTCCTTCGATTTTGAATATAAACTTAAAAGTAACTTACCTGGAGACGCAGATGTACAGTCCAGGGAAACCACTCTTGCTTATGGTCAACTTCAGTCACACCCAGAGCCCTGGACTGTTGGACTGCAGCAGGATTCATATTCCCTCCCTGTCTCAGCAGCCTGCAGTGTTACCCACCTCCAGGGCTGTTGTAATCTCGTTGAGAGTAATTGTCATCTTTTTGGCTAAGACATGTTTGATTCTGTATCTTTTGTGAACTCTGAACCCATCTTTCTTCCACGCTTCCCCCTCCAGTTAGCTAGCTGGGATTTAATTTACACATTGTATTTCCAGGGTGATCTTTCAGTTTGCTCCCAGGATTTTTTTGTTTTTTATTTATAGAGGGACACAGAAACCTTGTTTAAGGATTTAGAATTTTTTCAGATTTTAGAAAGGTAATGTGGTACATAATCCATATCCAGTAAGGTCTGTAGCCACAACCTATAATCAGATTCGCTTCTGAAGTAAAAATGTATTAATATTCACACTAAACTGAACAGAAAGGAGCCCTGTTGGCTCAGTGATTAAGCACTCAGCTGCTAATGAAAGGTTGGCGGTTCAAACCCATCAGCTGCTGCATGGGAGAAAAGACCTAGTGGTCTGCTTCTGTAAAGATTTACAGCTTAGGAAACTCTGGGGCAGTTCTTTATCGCACAGGGTCGCTATGAGTTGGAAGCAACTCGACAGCACACAACAAGCTGGATAGAAACTAAATGGCCTTGTATCAGTCCAAGTCAGGTTTTGCTATCAGTTTTTTTTTTTTTTTTTAAGGGTTTCAGAACTTTTTGGATTTTATAATTGGAAATAACAGATGGCAGACCATACATGTGTTAAATTGCTTTATATGTAGACGCTTTATTCTAGCCAGTCAAGCTCTGAAGTAAATCGCAGTACACTGAGATCCATCTCTCCACAAAGACCCATGATCTTTCCTTACAGCACAAGAACAACAGGGACTGTGGAGATGTTGGGATACTAATGTCACAGTGCCAAGATAGCATAGTTAGAGTTTGTATACTCTATCTTTGCCAAGCTTTTATACTTAAGTTTCTTGAACCTTCTATTTTACCTATTCCTGGTTTCTTTCTTTTTTAGTCACAGTACAAGAGTCACTTTGTTGCTGCCAGCCTAAGCAATCAGAAGGCTGGGAGCTCTGCTGCTGGGGCAAGTGGATGGACTAGTGCTGGGAGTCTGAATTCTGTCCCAACCGGTTCAGCCCAGCAGGGTCACAACAGCCCTGACAGCCCCCTCGCCAGTGCTGCCAAGAGCATACCAGGCTTTGGCAATACTGGGAACATCAGCAGTGCTCCAGTGACCTACCCTTCTGCTGGAGCCCCAGGAGTCAACAACACAGCTCCAGGGAATAACAGCCGAGAAGGGATTGGGGGAGGCAATGGGAAAAGAGAGAGATATACTGAGAACCGGGGTGGCAGCCGCCATAGCCATGGAGAGAGTGGCAATCGGCATGGCGACAGCCCACGACATGGAGATGGTGGTCGCCATGGTGATGGATACCGCTGCCCAGAAAGCAGCAGCCGTCATGCTGATGGCCATCGGCATGGGGAGAACAGGCATGGAGGAAGTGGAGGCCGACATGGGGAGAGCCGGGGCGCAAATGATGGTCGGAATGGTGAAAGCAGGAAAGAAGGTTGTAATCGTGAGAGCAAGATGGACCCCAAGGTGGAGAGCAGCAAGATGGATAAGATGGACAACAAGACAGATAAAACAGCTGATGGTTTCGCTGTCCCTGAGCCACCCAAACGCAAGAAAAGTCGATGGGACAGTTAGAGGGTATGTGCTGAAATGTGAAATCAGTCGTCTTTAATTTTATTTTTAGAAAGATTTTGGTAACTAGGTGTCTCAGGGCTGGGTTGGAGCCCAGGGTCTGAGGACTTCCTGCCCTTAGTGGAGCTGGAGCTTGGAGACATTACTATTTCTTCGTCTGAATCATTTTACTATTTCTTCATCTGAATCATTTTTCTAATGTTCCTTGGGAAGCTGTTTTGGTCCTTGGAAACAGTGAGAGCTGGGAAGCTTTTGGCTCTGGGTGTGTTGTTATGAGAGTCAGTAGCGGATACCTTGGAAAGAAAGGATCTTATAGGGCACAACTCACTCTAGGTTTATACGTAGCTTGTATTTTCTACTAAAACGTCACCTATAAACATCTACAAAGTAGAATTTTTTCCTAGTCCTATAGCCAGGCAGCCCCCTTTTTAGGAGGTGGCTTCTGCAGACGCAGTCCACTGAGGTCAGGGATGAGGTGGGAAGCAATTTGGTGGCTCCAGACGTTGCGGGGAAGGGGGAGGAGGGCATCAGATTCTCAGTGGGGTCCATGCCCAGGCTTGTGTCTGGCCCTGAGACATGTAGGCAGTGGCAGCCTTCCAGAAGGAGGTTTTGAGGTTCCCAGAGCCGCTGTGACTGAAGGGGAGGAGGTGGTCCTGGAAATTGTTCTAGGATGTGGTCTGACATGTTGCTAATTTTAAAATTTAAGTGTCTTCTATTTCATTGTATTTTTTTGTAACTTGCCACATACTAGAAAAATCTTTTGCTGAAATGATTTTGATGATTTTTGTTCTATCTTGTTTATACAAGGAAAAGAAATATACAAAATTCAAATTTTGTGACTTTGTGAAGGTTTCTTTAAAGATGTGCATTCTTTTTTGCTTGCTCTAGTAAATGTTTTACTACTGGGACCTGTGGATTGTTTGTCATTTCTACTCATGCTGAGTTCAAAACCTATTAAATATGATTTAGAACAGTGGGGCACACAGTGTGAACACTCAGAATGTAGGCTTTTTTCACCTAATAGCAGCAGACTGGGGGGAGACTTGAGAGGCCCACTTGCCGAGGAACAGACTACAAGAACACCACCCTGACACTGAACTTCCCCCATATGATTTAAAAAAGGCTTGACTGTTTTCATCCAGTACTCCATATTCATGGAATGGTTGTGGGGTTAAACAGCACCAACAAGACATTTCAGCCATGCTTTAATGGGAGACCCTCCTTCAGGCAGGAGGGTGTCCTCACTGTTCACACCCTGAGAGCTGCAAGTACCCAACCTCACTGTCTTTTTCAGACAACTGCAACACAAGCAAGGGTAGGGCTAGCTCCACATGACCCTTTCCCCCTAGTCCTTACACTGGCTTCTCACAGGCCTGGGTGGCTCTGCTCACTTCCGCCTGTGTCTTTTCTTCTGCTCCTTACGTTGCTGTGCTCTTTGGTCCTTCTTCATCCTTGAGTCCACCACCTTGAAATGACCTCTGACTCCAGCTGGCCGGCGCACTTTGCGGCCCACACCTTTTTTGGCTACAACATAGGTGACTTGGCGCTTCTCCTTGCCAAGCCCAGCCTTCTTGTAGAGACTATAAATGGAAGAAACAGGTTGGAGGCTTTCTGCCACTCTTTTTGACCCCAGGTACCTTTGTGGACACCCCAACAGTTACCTTCGCAGCTGTGCCATCTTCTCTCGTTCTGAGATGTCCACTGTGTTCACCACAGCTTCTGCCTTCTTCTTGGTTTGCTCCAGTTTTTTCAGCATCTGTGAGATGGCCTCCGTAAGGTGACCTCATCCCCATCCCTGTCCCATCTAGCCCTGATGTCAGGCAGCTACCACTAACTTACCCTCCGTTTTTTTCTGGCCTTAGCCTCAGCCACTTTCTTGATAGGACGTGCATTGATTTCCCGCCAGCGTTTTCGGTAATGCTCCACTTCCTTCTTGTCAATAGGCAACTGCCTTATCCTGTACTGCTTTTCTTCCTGCACAAACCACTCAGGAAGCTCCCCCTCATCCTCATTAAACGTATACCTGTGACAGAGAGGACACCAGCACTTGTAACACACCAAGCCTTCTAAAAAAACATAACTACTTACCACCCCACCCTGTGCCACTTCTCAAGATTTTGAGCCCCTTACCGACTGAAGGAGTTATCTATGAGGTCTCTCTTGGCCTTTTTGGAAGAGGCAATAACAGCACCTAAAGCAAGGCCTTCAGGGTCCAGTATCCGATGTTTGACTACAGAAGAGAAAAGTAAAACACTTGACTCCCAAAGCGGTAACTTCCATGGTCTCCCCTCCCATTCCACCTGGGACAAAGCTCTTACCTGGGTCCTCAATAGGCACGACTTCAAACCCATCATCATCTGATTTAGGCCCCCGGCTCCGCTTTTTACCTCGGTGTGGTTCCCTAAGGCAGAAGAGAAAGCGAGGAGTGTGAGTGGGTAGTCCACTATTCCCCTGCCACTCAGACCACACTCCCACCTCACCTCAACCCTGGTTCCCATTGAAAACCACCCAGGCTGTACCCCAGACACGTGTAATCAGTCAGCAGTTTTTTAAAGCCCTTCTCTGCAGCCCAAGGTTGAGAACCACCCCCAACTTACAGAAATGGTGAGAACTACTGCTTCCTACCATCAGCTGTAATCACTCACCTCTCTTCGTCCTCACTGCTACTGCTATCACTATCTGAGCTGTCATCTTTATCTTTCCCTTCAGGGTCAGGGGCAGCCTCTGTCCCCTTAGGAGTCTCTGTACCCTTAGGAGCCTCATCTTGGCACTGGGGAGATTTTCTCTCAGTCTTCAAACTTGAAGGCGGCTGTGGCTGTGGCTGCTCTTGCCCTTTACGACGACTCTCATACAACAGTTGGGCCTGACCGATCTCCAGGGCCTCATCAGCATCATCCTCAATCCCAGCGAAGCCATCCTATAATTGGGGAAATCTTCAGCTACTCTGCTCCCAGGGAATACCAATTCCCTATCTAACTTGCCCCTCCCCCACCTCTCCTTACCTTGGAGAACCACAGGTTGGCTTGCTCTTCCTGCAGTACTGCTTTTTCCTCTAGAGGTACCAGCAGTGGATTCTCTTCTTCCTCCTCCTCTTTATCATCTTCTACTTCAGCAAACTGCACACTGTAGACCCAGAGGGCAGTGGGTGGAAGGTCAGTGACCTGGAGTGCGCTGGAGGACTTACTTCCCCTATGCCCTCTCTGGTAAGACCTGCCACCCATTCTGTGTGAGGACTCCAGCTGCAGGTGACAGCACCCACTCTTGCCAACCACCCCTCCACTTACCGCTGTTGGTCCTTTAGACCCTGATGTCCCCCACCTCCTGCCCCCTCCTCCAGATCCAGGTCACTGTCCAGTGATGTGTCATCATCCTCCTCAGCATCTGATACGTAGATGTCATCGCTTGGCAGATCGGACAGAAATGTGTCTGCAGTGCTCATATCCCCTTGTGCTACTTCTGCTAACAACTGAAGTTTAACAGAAAGAAGTCAAGAGTATTTAAAAGGAGCATGTTGCTTTTTTCCCTCCCTGTGTCCACTCTTAGTTGATCTCTGATAACACTAGGAAATCTACTGTGGCAGATACATTATCTCCTTTTACTGACAAAAGCTTAGACCCAGGGAAATGACTCCCACTCTAAACCAGGTCACTGGTCTACCCCACTCTGCTATCTTGTCTTTAGAAGTGGCACAAATAGGTTTTATAGTAAAGTACTTCACGGTCTACATAGCATCAAATCTTGAAATGTTCTAAAACACTGCTACTTTTCCTTAAAAAATACTGAGTCGTCATCTCAGTGACCTTTTGAGAATAATACAATCTTCAAATTGTTTCCATGGAATAAAAGAGCCCAGGCAGCATAGAACTGACTGACAAGAGGCATTGTTCTACTTACGCTCTCCAGGACTCAGCAAAAAGAACACCATCCAGAAGCCTAGTGCAACAGGGTGCTAACTGGGTCTCAATGAACTGAAGAACCCTGTTCTCTGAGGGAAACCCTCCACTGACAAACGTGCTTGTAACCTAGGTGCCCTGGCTACACCTACTGTATCCAAACTTCTTGCAAAGAGTGCCTACTGGTTATGGTATTCTAGTTCTATAAGAATAAATCTGCATCATACTCATACTCTCTTCCTACCCATTACCACTGAGTCGTTTCCAACTCACAGCAACCTCATGCATTAGAGTAGAGCTGCTCGATTCTCGGCTGTAATCTTTACAGAAGCAGGTCACCAGGCCTTTCTTCCGTGGTGCCAACCTATCATAAGTTTTCCTAATTTCATCATTTTAAGTGTATGTTCCTTGGTCTTGGCAAGGCTCCAATCCCAACCCACCCCCCCACCCCCCCCATCTCTTCAACATGTCATTTTATGGGTGAAGATATCAACCATAACCTCAGATCATTCAGCCACACTTAAAAAGATATCCAACATCCTCCACCCCCAAACAGATCCTCCCGACTCTTCATTCTGCCCCAGCCCCACCCTACCTGGTGACCACGGATGGTGCGTAGGGAGAACATGCCGGTTTCTCCCTCGTCTGCAATGGAAACCCCAGGCAGATCCATCTTCAGCTCCACACGCTCCCGCTGCTTTCTCTGCTCACGCAGCAGCTTCTTTTTCTTCCTGAGGGGATGTGGTTGTGGGATTGAACCTGTATTCTGCCCAGCTCTGAAAATGCCCCATCCAGGCCCTGCAGTCTCTTCTCCCATCTTCACATATGAAGGAATCCTCGGCGGTGGGGGGAGGAGGTTCCCTCACCTCTTCAGCTCCGCCACTTCTTGTGCCTTCATCTCTGCCAGGGTCTGGTTCAATTGTTCCTCCTCCTCCTCCTCCTTAGAGGGCTGCCTCCTGGTCCCGGCTGTCGACTCTTCCTCATTACCTTCTTCCTCTTCTTCCCCAGAGCTGAGGCTGACAGAACAGTTCAAGGAGTTTGATTATTTTCCCAGATGCTTCCCCCGCAACACCCAGTCTACATCCACCTACTTTGGTTCCCTCCTCACCTGATGTCCAGTGCCTTTGCCTGCTCTTTCAGCTTCTTGGCCACATGTCTCCGAAGTTTCGTTCTCCAGTTCAGCAGGGACCTGCTCCAGAAATGCCATCACGGATCTACCCTCTTCTTTGTCCCTGCCCTCTCTTCTCTTTTAGGCCCCCACCCCAAATTTCAGGTTTGAACCACATAAATCCCAGGGCTCTGGCCCCCACCCCAAACCTCTAGCACAGCAGCATCCTCTTCCCAGAGATCCGACATCACGGCCTTTGAAGGCCTTTTCCTGCCGCCAGAGCTCCTGGCACCTGCACACCCAGCCCATACCTGAGCTCCTTGCGCCCCAGCACTTTGATATCCTGACAGCATGCTCGGACATCCTCAGTGGTTGCTGGGTGCTGCGCCAACTCCTCATCATCCAGCGAGATCTGTTTGGGAGGAGACAGGAGTCAGGGGAGACTCAGGCCATGTTTCTGGGGCTCCGTTATATTCCGCAAGTCTGGGGACTCACTTCGCTGGTCTTGGAGAGAAAGTCAACTGGGTTGGCAGCTCGTAGAAAGTCAGTGACCGAGGCATGGTGATAGAGAGTGAAGTCGCCCTCAGCATAGCCTTCGGCCTTGTGGGAAGAAATAAAGAAGGTTAGAAGCTCCTTTCCAGGTGTCTGTAGAACCCATCAGGCCCAACCTCCCAGGAGTTCCAGGACCCAAGAATGGCCCCATTCCCCAAACACACCTTTGGCTTCTTCTTAGTCACCAACTCAGTAACAGTCTTGGCCTGAACTTCAACCTCCTTGAAGGCAAATTTGGGATCAAAGAATTTACTGTCAACTTTATCAGGAGCCAGGAAGCCTAAAATAATAAAATATATCTTAAAAGTCTGTACTTTGGTAGTTAGCAGGCTGAGTTAAGACAGAAAAGGAAGTGATGCCCACCCTGGCAGACTACAAAGATCTCTGCAGATTCATGGCGAGAGGCTTGGGGCTTGGTGGCCTGGACACGGCGGAACAGCTGCTGGAAGATCCATAGCAGGGGCTGATAGTCGCGGGAACGGAAAACCTTTGTGATAAAAGAGCCACCACGAGCCAGAAAATCACAAGCCAATCGCAGAGCCATCAGTGTCAAATGGGCTGTGGGAAAGAAACAGTCAGCTGAGAGCCTCTGCAGCCTGAAAGGGCATGACCACCTCCGTGCCCATCTCCCCCTCTAGGCACCTTGTGAGTAAGCATCATGGACCCAGCTAGCCCCAACATTAGGCGCCCCATCATTGAGCACAACATCAACCTTCCAGGTCTTCAGCTCCTTCCTTAAGGCCTACAGAGGGAAAGAGATTGTGACAACAAGCACAGGCACAGCTAGGAATGGAGTCCCTGGTCCAGCCATTTGTTGAGTACCCATCAAGGGCCAAATCCTGTGCCAGGCACACGGGATACAACAGAGAAAAAAATAACAAACACCTGTCTTTACGCAGCTACAATCTAATAATGACTCTACTGGAAAAGACTTCACTGACAAAGATTTCTGTCCTTCCTCAAATCCAAACTCCTATTACTGACTCTAAACAGAGGCTGACATGGACGATAGAAATATCCGGACCTTCTCATGCAGACATCATGCACTCACTGCTTAAAAAAAAAAAAAAAACCCGAACCCATGGCCATCGAGTTAATTCTGACTCATAGCAACCCTACAGAACAAAGTAGAACTGCCTCCTATGGTTTCCAAGAAGCAGCTGGTGGATTCGAACTACCAACCTTTTGATTAGCAGACTAGCTCTTAATCACTGCACCAGCAAGGCTCTAGTCATTGCTTAGGACATGGTAAACAGGAAAAATCTTGCCTTCAATGGATTCACTTCTCTCTCAGAAAAGAGAGAGGAACATAGATGTCTATGCACATAGAAAAGACAGAAAAAGATTCCTATTACCTGTCGACAGCGTTCTGTTGTGATGTCTTCCTGGAGTGTCACCACGTTGGGGAGAGGCTTGATTGGAACCAGGTCCACTCCTGGAAGAAATTAGTTCAGAGGATTCCAAAGGGTTTCCTCAGAGAGCAGGAAAGAATAGACAAATTTAGTATCTCATACTCCCGCACCCTAAAACACCTAGGAGAGCCCCTGTCGCTCACCCACAATAAGACTGGACACAGGCATAAACTTCGCAGCCACTTGCAGCCTGAAAAAGAGATTTTAAAAATACCCAGGACCGTCCCTTCACTTCCCCTAAACCCGTGCAATATAATGTCACCCCTGGTGTTAAGAATCCCTGACAAGTGAAGTAGCCAGAATATGTCCAAGCTCCTTTTCTGTAATGAAGGAAGGAAACGGCCACCAAGATCTAGGAGAGGCTTATGCTCTGAGGTGAAGCAAAGCGGTGTGGAGTTTGAGGCTGGGAATCCCTCCCTTCCTCCTTCAACGCAACTCTAAGCCCCAGGGCCGGAACCCAGAAAGCCGCATCAGGTGCGACCTGTGCCGGGTGTAACTCACCATCCCCCTGGCGCGGCACAGAGGTCCAGCAAGGCTCGGGCTTTTTGCAGGAACTGGAAGCGGCGATTGAGCTGTATCAGCTTGAAAGCAGAGCGGGAGCGGTAACCTGAGCGCGGGGACAAAACAATGAAGTCGGCTAAGCGTTTTACCAGCGGGAATTCTCCGAAGCCTCACAACCCACAGCCCTTCTGGAGAAGAGGAACCCAATATTCGGGAAGGGGGGCAGACGGGCCCAAGGGCGTTCGCTTGCTTGCTGGCCCCGCGAACCCTGGCTCACCGGTCTCCTTCGCCAAGTGATAGAACTTGTCCCGCCGGCTCTTTCCGACTTTTCCTTTCTTGCCCATGGTTGAACCGGGAAGTGTCACTCAATCTAGGGAAAAGGTCGGAGAAGTTGAGAACGTCTCTTCTCACAGCACTAGATTCCGCTTTCCATTTCCCACTCCGCGCAGCACTCACACTGTGCGCTCTGCTCCACACCACTCACCTCGGTCCTGCGCCATTTTCACCACACCTGGAGCTGCACATGTACGCAGCAAACGTATTTCCGCTTCCGTTTTCGCCCCTTGCGTCCGCGGCTCCAAGTTTTCCGCCATTTTGAGAGTGGCCATAAATTTTCTCTAAGGTGCATCCCCAGGTCTTATAAGTTGAAAGCTGGAACCAGGAGGACAGAGTCCATGAAATACAAACCCAGTTTCTAGAGAGCAACGTTTGGGAATTCCCCCCCGCCTAATCCCCTTCCAAAGCTCCTGAATCAAGTGGCCACCCTCCCATCATGGCCCCTGTTATTTAGTGTCGTCTTCCGCACGTCGCGCTCATTGACCCGGAACTCTTCTCTGACCTCGTCTTCGGGGCCCCAAGGCCCTGCTTCTGCGCTTGCGCGCCGAGGCCAGTCAGATGCCGGTGGTGTCTGCTGCTGAAGAGGAAAGATGGCGCTTGACGGACCAGAGCAGGTACGGTGGTGGCGGCGGCGGCGGCGGGGCAGGGGCTGAGGCTGGATGCTGAACGGGCATGAGCCGAGGTGGGGAGCAGGCTGTGGCAAGGTGGTCGGGAGTAGGTTGACCAATCCAGACAGGGCCCTACTGGGACCAGATCTGCTGTGTCAGCGCCGCCCGCGGTGAGCCAGGGCAGGGCCGCGAGAGGACTCCGGAGAAGCCGAGTGCCGAGCAATGGGAGCGGGAACGGGGCCGACTGCGAGTCGCAGGTAGATTGGGGGCATGGCGCCCGGCCTTCCTTCTGGCCCCCCTTATTAAAGTAATAATACCTCGGGTCTGTGTAGCGCTTGACAGTACAAAGTACTCCAGTGTTTATCGTCTCTGGATCCTCCTAAAGTTCTGTGAGGTAGGCGGCATTCTCATTTTAGTCATGTGGAAACAGAGGATTCAGAAAGGATAGAACCCAAGTCTTTACGCTTCAAAGTCCGAGCTCTTTTTATACATTAACGCTGCCTGGTATTTAAGTGAAGTGCTCTGGAAGGGCCTTTAACTCTTTGGATGTTTAATCATTACACTGTGTCTTCAGATGGAGCTGGAAGAGGGGAAGGCAGGCAGTGGACTCCGCCAATACTATCTGTCCAAGATTGAAGAACTTCAGGTAAGGATGGGCTCCAGAGGGAGCTGGAGGGTAGGGGGTGGGGTTGGAGCACTGATGGAAGCAGGTTTCTATACGCATCTGTGTAATTACCATGCGGATGCGCTACAAGAGTTTTCTTGGTTTTCCTTTCTTGTTTTAGTTTTTAGAAAGTGAACATATAAGGAGTAACAAGCCAACATTACAAAGTATATGAAGCTAACAGTCTCTCGTTCCCCTCAGGTCCCACTGCTTTGAGGGTAATCAGTATTCACGGTTTGTTACACATCTTCCAAGATTCAAATTTTAACAGAAAAGGTACCCATAGCTGAGGGCCATTCCTTTTGGAAGAGGCCTGAATGAAAGTTTCTTATCAGAAAGGGATTGGGGCAGGGTAAAATGAGAGCGTGAGGGAAGACAGCATTAAGGATTCTGGACAGTGTTGATTCTATGGAACTGAATAAAAAAGAATTGGGCAACCCAGTGCTCTAGCCTAAAGAGGGAGCAGGAACCATGGAAATAAGAAAACAATAATAATATGGATAGGGGAAAAGTCACAAGGGAAATTTTTGAACTCCAGGTACATTTGCAGGTATCAACAACACGTTTGATTTACCATTTTAAGAATGTTTTGATGTGTGATTTCCTTTGTGTCTCACAATAGTTAAGAAAAGAAGCAGGGTAGATGATGCTATACTCGTTTGCAGTCTGGAAACAGATCTAGATGTTTTAGGTGGCTTGCTTTAGCTTTACCTAGATACTAACTGGCAGCAGCTGGGCTAGCGCTCAGGCTTCTCACGCAAAAGCTAGCAGTCTTTCCACTATACCATGTTGCTTCCCGTCAAGAAATTTACATGAGCTAGCTCTAACTAAGCCCTAATAACTAAGGGCTGTTATTCCTGGACCAGTAGTGGAAAGCAGCCTTTTTTTGGTGACTGCCATAGACTCCAGAGGAACTCTTGGAGGACAGGACAGGGTCATATTAGACGCGCAGTGCTCTTCCCATACTCAGGTCACACCCATTTATGAACCCATCTTGGCCATGATCCTACTGTCTTTTGCTCCTGGGTAACGTAATTTGTCACTTGTTTTCTACAGCTGATTGTGAATGACAAGAGCCAAAACCTCCGGCGGCTGCAGGCACAGAGGAATGAGTTAAATGCAAAAGGTCAGGGGGGAAGATGGGAAGGCTGCATGTGGGCTGTGGCTTGGAGGCCTGTTACTAATCTCCCTGACCCAAATCTTCACAGCAGTGCTCCCCACCCTTGGTGATGGTTTACATCTTGTCTTTATATAGTTGTTCCACATTTCTTTCCTGTGGTACATTATAACCTCTTACGGACAAGACTTAAACGTGTGTGTGGCTGTGTGGCTTTCCCTTCAGAACTTCAAAATGGTGCTCAGTTCATGTTTGCTGAATTGAGTCATGGGTGAAGGGACATGCTGGGAAGTTGGTGACCACTTGTTTCCCACCTAGTTCGCCTGTTGCGAGAAGAGCTACAGCTGCTGCAGGAACAGGGCTCCTACGTTGGGGAAGTAGTCCGGGCCATGGATAAGAAGAAAGTGCTGGTTAAGGTAAAGGCAGCATGACCCGAGGGACCAGCCCCAAGTGCTCACTGTGTTCCCACCCCTTTGTATGTAGCTACGCAGGGAAGGGGTTTTGTTGTTTTATTCTAGAACTCTTATGGATCTTCCTGAGGGGGGTTGATGGTTTGGTGGCTATGAGGGACGGTCATGAGCCCTTGTTTCTTTAGGTACATCCCGAGGGCAAGTTTGTTGTAGATGTGGACAAGAACATCGACATCAATGATGTGAGTGTCACAGGAGGGAGGGGGCTAGGGTCAGCTCCCATTGCACCACTTTCTGAAATTCCCTTGTACCCCTCATCCAGGTGACACCAAATTGCCGGGTGGCTCTAAGAAATGACAGCTACACACTGCACAAGATCCTGCCCAACAAGGTGGACCCACTGGTGTCACTGATGATGGTGGAGAAGGTACCAGACTCAACCTATGAGATGATTGGTGGACTGGACAAGCAGATCAAGGAGATTAAAGAAGTGATTGAGCTGCCTGTTAAACATCCTGAGCTCTTTGAAGCATTGGGGATTGCACAGCCCAAGGTGAGGAGTGGGGCTTTCTTTAGGAGGGCAGTGCTGTGCTAATCTCCTGTCCCCAGTCACACTGAGGAGTGGGAGTGTCAGGCTAGACTACAGCCTACTTAGGCTGGCTCCTTGGCAAGAAGAGGGGCTGGGAGTGTGGTGTTTCCAGGGCACTGAGGGGGTTTGGATATAAGCTCCAGGAGGGACCTTGCCATTCATTTTGTGTATCCCTAACGTCCAGCACAGGGTCCAGCACACAGTGAGCACTCAGTAAATGTCCACAGAACGAAATGAGGGTCTGAATCCTGCTCTTTCTCTCCAGGGGGTGCTGCTGTACGGACCTCCAGGCACTGGGAAGACACTGTTGGCCCGGGCTGTGGCTCATCATACGGACTGCACCTTCATTCGTGTCTCTGGCTCTGAATTGGTACAGAAATTCATTGGGGAAGGTAACTGTGGCCAGGAACATGAGAAGCAAGTGGAGGTGTGGCCAGGAACATGAGGAGCAAGTGGAGGTGGGAGAGACAAAGGTCTCACTGGCTCCCTAACGCCAGCTTGGCGTCCACACAGGGGCAAGAATGGTCAGGGAACTGTTTGTGATGGCACGAGAGCACGCTCCGTCTATCATCTTCATGGACGAAATCGACTCCATTGGCTCCTCACGGCTGGAGGGGGGCTCTGGAGGGGACAGTGAAGTGCAGCGCACCATGCTGGAGCTGCTCAACCAGCTGGACGGCTTCGAGGCCACTAAGAATATCAAGGTAAGGTGGTGTCGGCCTCGGGATGAGCCATGGGAGGGTGCTGGGTGACTAGCAGGCCAAGGAAAAGCTTTGCTGATAGCACCACCCCCGCTTTTTCCACTCAGGTCATCATGGCTACTAACAGGATCGATATCCTGGATTCGGCACTGCTTCGCCCTGGGCGAATCGACAGAAAAATTGAATTCCCGCCCCCCAACGAGGAGGTTTGTGATGCGCCGTCATGGGAGAGACTCTGGCTGTAGGGGTGGAGGGATGGGGCTCAGGCCTTTCCTCTGTGGTCTCTAGGCCCGGCTAGACATTTTGAAGATACACTCTCGGAAAATGAACCTGACTCGGGGGATCAACCTGAGAAAAATCGCTGAGCTTATGCCAGGAGCATCAGGTGCTGAAGTGAAGGTAACTGGAAAACAGGAGGTAGAGGCAGGAAGTGTTGGGCTCAAGGGCCGTGCCCAGGGCTGAGGGGGCACAGCAGCAGTGCCTCATCCTCCTTTCCCTGCCCAGGGCGTGTGCACAGAAGCTGGCATGTATGCTCTGCGGGAACGACGTGTTCATGTCACCCAGGAGGACTTCGAGATGGCAGTAGCCAAGGTACATGTCCCTCTCCTTTATCCCTTTGCTGGTGGTGGCTCTAGAGCAATGGAGTAGGCTGTGCGTTCACCTGGTCTATAACAACGTGCTCTCTCACGCTCTCTCTCCAGGTCATGCAGAAAGATAGTGAGAAAAACATGTCCATCAAGAAGCTCTGGAAGTGAGATGGATGTTCTTCGTGTGGATCTCCAAATAAAGCTCTGTGGGTTAAGCCCTATAGGAGTCGTCTGTTAATGAGTGGTTGCGCTGTTCAATGACCAGGTCTGGGCACCACCAATAAACAAAAGGATTTATTTGGAAATTTCTAAACCTGCCAGAAGTGGCACTTACAAGCCCTAGGCCCACCCTCCTTACCCAGCTCCAAAGGGCAACAACAATCCTCTCCCCCCTCACCTTACTGGCCCCTATACCATGCACACACCAATACCTCATGCCATGCTAGAGAACTGCAGTGTCCCCTCCCTCTACGAGGCATTACCTCTCTGGGCCTAAGAAGCTGGGGTGGCAGCCCTCTGGCACCCCAGGAGATGATGGCGGCCAGAGCCGCTTGCATAGATTGAGGAAAGAAAATAGGGCTCCCTGAAAAACCCCAACTTGACCCCTGTACAAAAAAAGTGGCTCCCGCATAGAAAAACCTGCTCCCCAAATAGTGCAAATACCCAAAGGAAAGGAAAAAAACCAGCAGCAAGGCTGGGCTTGTAGGAATGGCCAAGAACTTTGGTTTAGGAAGGCTAGGAGAGTCTGGGCTATACCCCCTTCCTTGCCCAGCTCCCCAGAGCCCCAAGGGGGGAGTCTGTAAACACGCAAACCCAGCAGCCTTTGGTTCTCAAATGTCTCAATTACAATGTCCCAGCACAGCCTCCAACAGTCCTACCTGGGCCTGCCTGCAGGGGGCAGAGGAGGCATCTATTATGAACCCAATTAAAGCCAATGCATAAAGTAAGTACTAAGGCTTTGGGAACCCAAGCAACAAGGAGTCCTATCACTACATTTATGGAACTAAACCTGGAGGGTAGAGGGTGATAGGAGACACTCCTCACCCCATCCTTATCCTACGTGTTGGCCTCAGCCAGGACCCAGAGGGTGGTCCCTTTCCAGGCTGAGGAGGGGATGGCTCCAGAGCTGGGAATAAAGGAAAAACTCCCTGAGCAGTTAGGTCAGGCGAATTCCCAGCACCTGTTCCAGTTCCTGCCTGCGCTGCTGCACCTGAAGAAGGGAAAGGCGACAGTGGCTCAGGCCTCAGCTCCTCACAACCAAAGGAGAGAAATAGGACAGGGCCTCACCTTGGCAAAGATGTGCCTCCCCACTGCTTCTTGGGCCCAGGGCTGGTGGTAGAAAGCAGCTCGTCTCTCCTCCTCAGGATTCCCAATCACATCCGTGATGATCTGCACAGAGCCACGAGGAAAGCCATAGCAAAATGCCCACCCCTGAGCCAGTCTGCCCCTGGAGCTGGAAAGATAGTGACTGGGGGGAAAATCACCCAGAGCTTAACATGGGATTACCCTAGGGAAAGAGCACCACACCTTGAGGTCCCGGCGCTGGGAACGGAGCCATTCCTGGATGAAGTCCTGGGGGTCAGTGCTAAAGCTGAGCATGAAATCCCTCTGGGTCTTCAGCTGGTTGATGGACTCAATGGTCTCATGGATCTGGGGGAAATAGTGCATGTGTCAGACTGGCCCCCTATGCCGAGGGGTCTGTTCCCAGGCTGAAACCCAAAGGACTTGGGGCAGAGACCTGTCCGGCAGCCTGCCCACCCCCTTTCTGGGCCCCAGAGAAAGGTGTAGAGGCAGAAGGCCCACCTTGACATCAAGGGAGGCTATCTCCTGCTGATTGGTGGTAGAAGCCAGGAAGTTGCTCATCTGGGCCTTCAGTGGGTCATCCACCTCCACATCAATGTCATAGCAGGCAGTTTTCTTCTGGTCATTAGGGTCCACACTGCAGGCAGCACATGGGAAGGGAAGGGGAAGAACATGGCTGTATTCGTCCACTCACCTGGGATAAACCTGGGGCCCATTCCGTGTGCATGACTGGGGAGCAAGAAACCAAACCTGCTGCTTCTCTCTGGCATTAAACCACGTCAAAGGTGATTCTGCTCTCAGAAGAACTCTCCCGTCCCCTCCCCCTCAGTTTACCTAATGACATGGTTGATGACAATGGGGTCTGGATGCTGCAGCAACCCAGCCAGCTTCATAGGAATCTCGGAGAAACGGAGTCGACCACAACTGAAGATCTGCAGAGAGTACCAAAGGCTCGGTGATGCCTCTGAGCACACCAGGGGGACGTGGATTATTCCAGGGTCAGTAAGGGCAGCAGACTGAAGAATATGGCTGAGAAGAAGCCAGGTGGGGCTCTAGAGCAGCAGGCAAGGCCGGGGCTGAGTACTGGGGAGGGTTGCCATCCGGCTCACCTGGCGGAAGTACCGGTTGCAGTTGATGTACTCGCGCTCGTGCCCGTCCTGCAGCTGGTTGTGTTTGATGTAAAGCCACAGGGCCTGCATGATGGCAGCCCTCGTCTGTGTGTGCACTCCCAGCAGCCTTGCCAATCGGGGGTCCAACTTATACTGGGGAGGCTGGGGACAGGACAGAGGGGAGTCAGAAGAGGGGTCCTTGTGAAAAAATGAAGTGGAAGACTAGGACAGAGACAGGAAGGGTTGACAAAAGGAGCCTGTCCCTCCCCGCCAGATGAGTCTCTGGCCCAGACACAGCCCCAGGCATTCATTACCTGATGATCCAGCATGAGCAGGAGGGTGCACTTGACGTTGAGGTCTCCAGGCCGCTTCACCTGGAAGCCATCTGTTTCCTGGGTGGTGGGCATCCGGTGCCACTGGCAGGAAAAAGGGAGTGGAGCTTATCACTAGGGGAGTGGATGTGAATACACACACCTGGTCCTCAAAGGGGCTCGAGGCCATGTCTCTGCCCAACAAGCACATCAGCCTGTGCTCTCTGTCCTCGGGCCTCCTTTTTCTCCCCATTCCCCAGGTCCAAACTTACCTCCACCAGGTGGTTGTCAGGCCCATACAGCTCCTTGTCCAGCTCAATGACAAGGCTCTTAAAGAATGAAGAAAACTTCCTTTTCTGTTTGCTAGGCTGGGGGTAGAAAGGGGTGTGAGATGGGCGTGGTGCTGAGCTCCTTCCTCTCTTGAACCCAAAGCTGTGCTAAGCCCAGAAAAAGAGGTGTATCATTTCAGCCCCACAGCTCAGGGTACTGAGGATTTTGGGGCCCTGAAGGAAAAGAGAGATTAGAGGTGAAGGGCTCTCCATGAAGCCCCAATCCTAGGCAATAAAGGACTCTGTGAATTAGAAAGGGAGTCCCTGGGTGGTGCAAAAAATGTGCTCTGCTGCTAACTGAAAGGTTGGGGGTTCAAGTCCATCCAGAAGCACCTCAGAAGACAGGCCTGGCAATCTATTTCCAAAAAATCAGCCATTGAAAACTTTACGGAGCACAGTTCTACACTGACACACTTGGGGTTACCATGAGTCAGATCGACACGACTGCAGCTGGTACTGATACTCATTCCTCAGGAAGGTGCGTTACTGCCATCTGCAGGAAATGGCTGTGATGACCATACAAATCAACCTACACTTGGCCTGGAGCTGTGCAAAGCATGACCATGCGCAGTGCCCTCTCCCTGTGACAGGACTTCTCTGTGACTGCTCAACTGTCTGTGCCCCATTTTAAGCCCACATAGGCCACCTCCCCTCCACAGACCCCTTTCCCCAACTCACATCGTCCAGCAGTTTTCCCTCCACTCGGAGTTCCCAGGAAGCCACCTTGTCCCCTGCTGGGGTTCCTCCTGGGGTCCCTGCAGTTCCTGCACTATCACCTTCAGCCTTGCTGGGACTGAACGTATTGGAAATATAGATCCGAAGCTTTCGCTTTTGCTAAAGAGAGAAAGACAATCAACTAGAGGCAGACCACGCTGGAAAACAATGCTCTCCCATCTTCCCATATTCATTCACTCAACAATCAATCCTGTGTGAACTATGGGCCCAGCCCCTTCCTAGGCCCTGGGAAGTAGAAGTAGTAATGCCCAGTCCTAGCCTTCAAGAAGCTCCCAATTTTATAGGGGAAATAGCTTCATTACCAACAATTCCAAAACATCGGGACTGGTGGTATAACTGAGTACATACAGGTTTCTATCAGGCAAACCAGAAGCCTCTAGCTCATATTTTAAATGAAACCCAAACACCCATCATCGTCCCCAAATATCCAGGTCTCCTGGAAAGTCTTCACCACTCTGGGGATTGTTCTAGATTATTATCTAAAAAAAAAAAGGTTCTCTGGGGATGGGGAGGGAGACAGGAACTACTCTTATCTACCCTCCAGTCTAGTAGCTTCTCACTTTTGACCATGACCTATGAGATATACATTTTAAATCATGACCTAGCATCCACGTACATATATTTATATATATATATCTGAAACAAAAATCTCATAAAATAATACTTACCTTTACTACACGTGAAATATTTTCTACTATTTTGTATTTCATTTAAAAAATATGCTAAAAAATATGCTGGCCCCAACACATTAAACTGAGTTCATGCCTCACTAATAAGCTGTATCTATCCTAAAGTTTGAAAAACCTTGCTCTAGCCCCACGGAGGCCCTTGCTTGGCCCCTGGAAAGCAGGGCTGGGGAGGGCAGAGAAGGCTTGGGAAGGCCAGGGGTGGTCAGGGCTGCACACACCGTCAGAGGCTTTTTGATGGCCTCCTGGATCTCCATCCGTTTGCGAGCGATGGTCTGGTCCAGCTTCCGCTCAAAAGCCAAGAGATCCATATACGCCTGAGACTCGGGGACAAGCTCCCGAATCTTGAGGAAGGGAGGAGGGATTTGTCAGCAGATCTGGCTCCTTCCTCCCCGATCTCAGGGTTGGGGAAGGTTGGCCCCCACTCCCATCAGGCAGGCCTCCAAGGTGTCCCTCCCAACACACTCACTCGCTGAGGTAGAACCTTATCCGCCATCTTCCTCCTTTTCAGCCTGGGAAGGACAGAAACCCACTTAAGAGATCAATGGCCCAAAGGACACTCGCCCCCGCTACCACCACTTCATTACCACTTCAGCCCCCAGGGCCCTCCCCCAAGAGAACCAGAAGTCTTTCTCAGTCATCACAGCTCTTAGGGTAGAAGAAAACCCTCAAGGTGGAAGAAACAGGAGGGTCTTACCCCCGGCGCTGGGCAGGCATCGGGGGCTGGGGCTGGGGCACGAGCAGGCGTTTTCGG